TTTGGGGTCTCCTTAGCCATGAACTTCCCATATCAACCTTTGCTATGGCAGCGGGTCGATTGAAAGAGTTGTGCTTGATGGGATCGAAGAATGCGATACCAAAACGGCCGGTTTTTTTCTCCCCATCCCCATGACTCATTTGTCACTTCAGACGGGAGTCCCTCGGCACGAGTGGGTCTCAAACCAACATCTCCGAGACTTCCCCTTTTCAATTTGGTGGCAAGACCAAACCCTTGGAAACCCCACCCTCGGCTTCCTTCCCCTTGGCCAGCCACCCCCCCCTCCCCCGACCCTAACGAACCTCGGCTTCCCTCCCTCAGTGACACCCTGTCCGACGTGTCCCACCGGTGCCCACGGCGAGTCGAGGCGCCAGCTTCGGCAGGTCCTCCACTTCCACGCGTCCGATGGGCGTCTCCCAGGGATCCCTCCCCAGCCTCGCCGACTGGAAGCGGGCTGGGGGGACCCAGCGAGACATAGCGAGACCCACTGAGGCTGCGAACATGAATAAAACATATGGGTGTTTATTAAAAATGGGGAGTCCAGGTAGGTGGTTTCTGTGGTTTCCTTTGGCTTCCCTGTTAAACCATCCAACAACCGGGTCGTTCTGAGTCGGTTTTATATTTAGGCCCTCAAGAAATGAGAGAGTTAAGCGGAAAACACAGAATTAACAAAGAAGGCCGGACGGTGGCCCAGAAAGCAAGGGCGCCAGCTACAAGGGTAGCCGGAAAGTTGCAAAGCGGCTGAGCAAACTGGAATATTGACAATACTGTGCCTTCGGGCTGTGCTACTGGTGTCAATCAAATGGGATCCAGGATACTTGTTCGGCATCCCACAATTGGCGGGGCCATGACGACCACGTAGGGAGTGTCAAAATGATGAATCCCGTTTTGGGAGCCTCTTAGAAAAGGGGCCCTTATCTTTGACCACCAGAGCTAGAACCCAAAAAACCGCAAAAAACACCTGCTCTGATTGGATTCTTGGCACCACTTGGTTTGAGGGGCGGGGGTCATGACAACTGCATCCATCCATCCATCCGTGTCGGGGTCCCGGTGCCTTGCGGGCTGGGCCCCGGTCGTTTTCGGCCCCTGCCTGCCCGTGAGGTCGGAGAGGGCGATGAAGACCTGAGTCGTCCTCGAGTTGGGACCATTGCCTGCGAAGCTCACCTCGGGAAGTCAAAACCCGAGTCACAATCAAAACCCGGTATTAAAATGGTCTACCCAGAACCATGTAATTAAAAAGGCGGCCGCAACTATTTCCGGCTGGGACTGCCCCTTACTAACCTTCATCTACCCAGGTTTTGATTGTGGCTCACCTGACAATGCGACCCAAAACGGGCTTCGGCACTAAACCACTCGGATATCCAAACAGGGTTGCCTCCGACCCAATCAACACAAGCGCCCTTGGGGGTTGATCTTATGGGCGACCATAAGTTGCCAGGGGTTCCCAAGGTGTGTCTTTGAGGGAGAATGCTCCTTGGAGTTTGAAAGGGAATCCAAAAAATAAACGCACGTCCTGCTTTTACCTTGGACACCTTCAGGGGGGTGCTTTTTGGTTCCATAGAGTCCGCTCCATAGAGTCCGCGAGCTTAGGGCGCAGACATTCGTTTTCAGGGATGCCCGTGATGTTCACTCAACCGAAAACGGGGGTCAAAGGGCGCTTTGCCCTCCTTTGTTCAGGGCAACCAAACCCATAGCGAGCCCTGAAGACCCCCCAAAATCCAACTCGAAGGGCCTCAAGGAACCTAAAGTCCTGGAGGCTCCTTACCCAACCGCGGTGTCCAAACCGCACGCCCAACACCATGGCTCTTGGGCCGAGTTGGTCCCGACCTGTTTCGACATCCAAAATCCCAGCCATGGCGCCCACAAGGGCGCCATTTCTCCCGCCGATTAACGTGGAACCTGACGTTTCGGGGGGTCCTGGAAAACCATTTTCCTTTAAAGGGACCCCTGTCAGGTTCCATGTTAACTGGTGTGAGGAGAAACCTAAAACCCTTGCGGGGGTATGCAACCAGGTATGTTCCCAAGCTTCACTGGCAGTAGTTTTTGGGAGGAAACCAACCTAAAACCCCGATCCAAGAAATTGCTTCAGCCAAGTCGCCGTGCCCTTCTCGAAGCTGGGCGAACCGGTCAAAGGGTCGTCGCGGATAGCGGGGGACCACTTCTCGTTCATGTCGCGGCTGTCGCCTTGGCTTCACAAACGCTAAGCGAAGCCTGGCAAGCCAAGAAAAATTACCAGTCTGGACAAGTGTTCATCTTTGCTGGAAAGCAGTCAACAAACAAAAAGACAGGAAGGGTGATCCACCTTCTGTTGCAAACAAAAACCCGGGCTCAGCAATGATGCGACCCTTCGGCAAGCTCCACTTTCGATGGCTCCAAACTCGGAGAGGCGCTGATGCCGAACTGGGCCACGAAGCCCCGCACGGCTCGGAAGATGGCCTCTTGGTGGCTCTTACTGGCGACTCCCGGAACACTTGGCTTACAGAGCCTGGATTCAAGCATTGTTTCTATTTGCCGCTTCCATTTCCAGACGCAAGTGAGCGACCAGACTTGTTGTTTGCGACTAAGATCCAAACGCACGCAAGTGACCAGACTTGTTGTTTGCCGCTATCCAGAGGCAAGTGAGTCAGCTTCTGCAAACTAAGGTCCATCTCAAAAGCTTGGGGGAAGTAAGTTGGTTCTGAAGACCCTGTGTTCGCGGCCTCGGTTGGGGTGGTCCAGGAATGAGTGGCCGAAGGGGATTCACGCAACGCGTCAATTTCATTTACTTACACAGCACCAAAAAGGATCGAAGCCTCTAAACGGATTCAGTGGGCGCCAAGGGTTGCCCAGTAAAGACCCTGAAAAGTCGGTACCGACTTCCTTCAAAGACAGTCTTCCTACTTAGCCCAACATGAGTGCTGAAACCCACAAAGGCTCGCTCCCTCCCACCAAAAGTTGCGATTTACTTGCGGTTTCCAACTTTGGGAGGCCCAGAAAGGAAAATTGAAGGAGACCTGCAACCCCCTGAGATTTTTTCTCGGACAAGCATTTGGCCTTTCAATGTCTAAACCACCCTGAAGCCCCGGCCAAAGACTCGATCGTCACAAGAGCTTTCCACGCAAGGAAAGCAACAGGACACATTTTACAAATGTTCGATCCGCAGGTGGTTCGGTGAAATTGCTTTAAACCCAAATTAGCACGCAGATCATGGCTTTGACAAATGCAGCTTCTGTGATACCCATATCACTCCCATGGTTACAGAACATGGCCCTCTTATCTCACTATCCAAGGGAGAGCCTTCGGTCGGCGAGCTCTCTCGCTCTCTCCGCTCGCACCGCCTGGTCCTGGAAGAAGCCGTCCCTCACGAGGTCCAAAAAGCGTCGGACCCCCTGCGGGCTTCTCGTGGGGTCCAGGTGGATGCTGATGATGCCGCGCGTGCTGTCCTACAGTCTCCAGAACGACTGGGAAAAGGTGAGAACCTGCATTCTGGAACAAAAGTTTCCCCATAGAATAGAAACATAAAAAATAGTCAATAAATAGGTAATTAAATAATCAAACAAATAAAGTAATGAATGAATGAATGGATGAATAAATAAAACTAACTTAATTATAAATTAATACTTAAATAAAAATACAAATAAATCCATAATTAAACAAATTAATAAGTACATGAATAAACAAAACAAATACACAACTGAATAAGTAAATAAGTAACTAAATAAACAACTAAATTAATAAATAACAAGACAAGCAAGCAAGCAAGCAAGCAGAAGCAAGCAGAAGCAAGCAGAAGCAAGCAGAAGCAAGCAGAAGCAAGCAGAAGCAAGCAGAAGCAAGCAGAAGCAAGCAGAAGCAAGCAGAAGCAAGCAGAAGCAAGCAGAAGCAAGCAGAAGCAAGCAGAAGCAAGCAGAAGCAAGAAGCAAGCAGAAGCAAGCAGAAGCAAGCAGAAGCAAGCAGAAGCAAGCAGAAGCAAGCAGAAGCAAGCAGAAGCAAGCAGAAGCAAGCAGAAGCAAGCAGAAGCAAGCAGAAGCAAGCAGAAGCAAGCAGAAGCAAGCAGAAGCAAGCAAGCAAGCAAGCAAGTAAGCAAGCAAGCAAGCAAGCAAGCAAGCAGAAGCAAGCAAGCAAGCAAGCACAACCAAACAAACAAACAAACAAACAGCTTAAATAAATACTTGAACATAAATAAGAGTGTTTCTCAAAACTCGGGATCGCGGGCCGGGCCACTTCAGGTGGTCGGTTTCCCTTTGGCGTTTAATTTCCTCCCCCCTTTGAAGAAGAAAATAAAAACACGCACACACACAAACGGTAAGCAAACAAAGAACCACCCATTTAGTTAGTTGATTTGACTTGTTTCCAAATAGAGGGAAAACCATGTGAATGGACGAAATCCTGCACCACTTTGAAACCATGATTGAAACCGTGTTTGATTGGCATTTGCAGGAAAATCATCAGAGCCTGGGTTTCTGAAAGGTGGTGCGAACATGGATTTCGCAACCATCCACAGTAATTATCACCTATGTGGCCCAACAAGGGAAAACGACTCAAAATTTCGCGGTTGGCCTCCCCCAATTTGGACGCACATCAACAACCTTCCGAGCAGCACATCTCACCACCGGCGCCAAATACGCCCGCTCCGCCGCAGCCTCCTCCGAAACCGCCGCCGAAACGGCCGCAACGGCCGCCTCACGCCGCACCAGGCCCATGTCGGTCCTTGGCAAATGCGTCTCAAAACACCAGTGAAGCTCGGTTGCTGTCTGCTCCCCTGCTAAAAGTTCAACTTTTAGTGGTTTATTGGAGAACCCATTAGTTGGCAAAAAGTCAAAAGCCTAACATCCAAGCAAACTGCACCAAAGAAAAGGTTTCACGCGCCTTGGCTCCTCCTTTGTGACTCTTTTTGGGCCCGATCCGCGCCTTGCAGGCTCTCTGCCTTGATCTTCAAGGCACGGGAAAAAAACCGGGGCAACGGCATCCGCTCCAAATATTTTAACAAATACTTTGTAATCAGTGTGATCAACTTGTGGTGAACCGGACAGCTGATTTGTTACGAGCTTTCTGGAGTCTGGATGTACCTCTTTCAAATTCTCGGCCAAAGGTTTTTCTGTCAAGGCCTAGAGGCAATTAAACTGGACTTAGGGTCCACTAAGCCGCGGATCACTGAGCTGCCCATTCCACCACCCCGGCTTGCGATGTCGTAGGCAGAAAGGCCATCGCCATTCTTGGCGGTGAGGTCGGCCCCGGCCTCCACCAGCGATTGGACGATGTTTGGCGCATTATTGGCCACCGCGGACATCAGCGCCGTTCTCCCCGAATTCGAGCAGAGGTTCACATCCGCCGAAGCCCGGATCAGCTCCTGAACCGCCTCTGAGTGGCGCTTCCTCACGGCGAAACGCAGGGGAGTCCACCCGAAGTCATCCTGGGCGTTCACGTCACCGCCCATGTCCACGAGCGCGCGGATGCGGTTCACGTCCCCTTGGTTCGCCGCAGTCATGAGCTTGGTGACAGATCCGCCACCTCGAGCATTGGGATCCTCATCCCGCACGGCATCTGGCAGCTCGTTGAAAAGGCCGTCACTGCCTGTTGTCTTCCCTGATATGCTGCCACGCACACCCACCAAGGCGAACATGGCCAAGTAGACGTCCTCCTCAGATAGGGCATCCGTCTCTGGCTCGCGATCCACCAGGTGGAAGATCAAGTCGGTGATCTTTCCTCGCACGCCGTACCAGCTGAAGAAGGCGTCCTGCATCTCCGACTTGCAGAGCATGCCGTCGCTGTTCTGGTCGAAGCCTCGGAAGTCCTCGTCATAAAGCTCCTTCCACTCCTCGAAGGTGTGCCAGTCATGCTTCCCCGCCAGCAGCTGCTCCAGGTCGCTGCGCGTGGGCCCCAGGTCCGCGCGGCCCAGCAGCTTCACGAAGGACTCGAAGCTCTCCTCCAGGCCCTCGATGCGGCAGTGCGCCTCCAGGTCGGCCAGCTTCATGGCGCCCCTCTCGCACTCCTTGATGGGCCTGAGCCTCTCCTCTCGGTTCAGGGGCAGCACCAGGCTCTCCAAGTGCTCGTAAGATGGGGCGCCCAGGTCCGGCAGGCTGTTGTAGTAGAACTTCACGAAGTGCGAGCCCTCCGAGTCTTGGTGCAGCTCCAAGGCGAAGAAGGCCCCAAAGCCGATCTTGTCCAGCTCGATGCCGTAGTGGGCCGCCAGCGCACACATGGTGGTGTCGTGGCAAGAGAACTGCACAAAGCGCTGGTGGCACACTCCGGTGGCGCGCTCATCCAAATGCCGCCAGATCTTGTGCGCCAGGTAGCCCGCTGCCTGCGCGCCATAGGATCGCTTCACCTCGCCCTCCGCGTTGCCAAACCAGCACCTCTTCACTTCGTCGCCAATCTTCCGCAGCATCGCCTGCTCCTTCGGAGCCAGCTCCTCTCCGAACTCGTTGGGCAGAATCGGCCTGTTGTGGGACTCCTCGATCATCACCTGCAAACTGATCAATCTTCTCCTTTTGCCCCCAAATGACCATGGGTCACTTTTCCCATTTAGTGGCAAACATCATCTATTTTAAAGTGGTTTTCAGACCAATGGTCATCTCATGTAAGGGACCTTCTGATCAACCCCCACCTGGGTGTCGATGTCCTTGGCTGCCACCAGTCGCTCCAAACCATCCCCTCGAGCCAGCTTTGGCTCCTGCAAGCGCTCCTGCAGCTTGTCGAGCAGGGCGATGTATTCCGGGTCATCTTTGGCCGACATTAAAAACTCTGATCGCGTCAGGTTCTCCTTGCTCCACTTCTTGTAGGCCTTCTTGTCCAGCTTCCACTCGTGAAACAGCCGGTCGTCTCCCTCTGACGCGTCTTCCACATAGATCGGCACCCCCACCTGCTGCTTCAGCGCCTGGGCGAAGACCCGCTCCGAGCGGAAGGCGAAGAAAATCGAGGCCCCGGGCACCAGACCCAAGAGCAAAGACCAAGCGCTCTGCAAGGTTCTTTGCACATTGGAGGTATACACCGTGACGGCACGCCCGTCAATCTTCTTGACTTCCTCGAAAAGACGGCAGCCGTTGCCCAAATAGCGCTTCTTGAGAACCGCGCCTGTGTCTGTGAGCGTCTTGGCTCCCACGGGCGTCAAATGGCCCTTGTAGCTCTCCCAGAATTGGGCGCGCACTGGCCAGCCCAAATTCCCTGCGCCCGAGGGCTTGGTGGGAAAGCGGGTGCCGTGCCGATGCACCAGCACCACCTGGCGCAAAGTCTTCTTGTCCGCCTCCGGCATGGGCCACACCACATCCGGACTGGAGCGGAGGGCCACCTTGGCCCGCCGCCCCTTCGCCCGGAAGCCCCCCACGCGCCGCGCCGCCAGCTTCGGCGCCAGAGCGAAGAGCGCCCAGCGAGCCGAGCGAAGCGGCCTGGGCTTGGGACCAAAGGACCCGGAGCCCGCGGCGCGGAGGCTGTGGGAGCCCTCCAGCTGCAAGCGAAGCGGCGCCGGCGCCAGCGCCATGGCCATCGCGCAGCTTTTGACCGCCGAAAACGTCAAAGGAACAGAGGGAAACCCATCAGTTCGGGGATTTATCTTGAGACACACCCAGCTGTATTTCAGAAAGACCAAAAGTGAGTCCGGCTTCTCTTTGGCTTTGGCCTCAAACAGGCCTCCAAAAAGAAGACCCAGACTTTGAGGCTTGATGACTGAGATGCAAAGCCCGGGCTCACTGACGTACATGTTGACCCGGATCTTGCGTAGGGGGGCTTCCCTACAAAATGGATAACCTAGTAAGAACCACCCCCTCGCACAAAATCAAGTTCATAAATCCAAGGAGCTCCCATTGGTGTTGAGTGGATAGGCCCCAAAGCAGGTGAGCCTCACTTTCTGGGTCCAGGTCCCTTCGCATGTGGGACCACTGAAGGGTCCCTCAGTATGATGATCTTTTGGGTCAATCTGCTCAGGCTTTTGCCCGGACCCGGGACAGAGAGGACAATGTGGGGTTTCATTGTTGGGAGGAAGGGCAAATAATGTGTGCAACGGTTTTCTATGTTGGACATCACTGAACAGATTTCTAGATTGCCTGGCTTTCAACCAACACAAGGTGAAGAGATATTGCATTGTTCCTATGCTTGTCAATGGCCAATGGTGAACCCGAAAAAAGTAAACAAACAGTGGGCAAGTGTGTTTGGCCAGTGATCCGCAATACGGGCCTGTTCACTTCCGCAAGGTCAAGTAGGCTTGGTGCCACTTCCAAATGGGTGTGGGTCAACAATAGGTACCCACAATTGAACCCTGGTAAATGGAAACAAGGACTAACAGCTGCGGTGCCCTGGCGGTTTGATTTTGAACCCGAACTCTCCGGCGAAGGCTCACGGACACCGCAGCCCGCTTGGCGCCGTGTTGGTGCTTGGCATGGCTCACCTGAGAGCTGAGATGGGAGATAGGTGGGTCTCAACGTCATTTTTTTTTGACGCTTTTTGGGGGCGGTTTGACGGGACACCGCTTGATTGTTTGATTTTTCTTGGAGGAGCCCCTTTTTGGCGCTTTAAATCGGAGAACCGAGGGAAGGGCTCGACCCTTGATGAATACCTGGTTCATGAATCAGGGATCCCTTCCGATTTCCCGAGTGGATTGATCAGAAGAAGTCTGGACATACCTACACTTCTTCTTTCCCTCTTTCCACACTGGGGAAGTGAGTGACCTCAAATTAGTTTGGTGGACCAATCAACTGTGGCGCCTGAGTGCGACATCTATGCTGTGGATGCTCCGGACTCCAAAGTTCAGACTAGGCTTCTCACATTGGTCATTGGCATCTGGCAACCCTCAAACACGGCCTTTTGGTGTACATGGAGAACCGACCCCAACGAGGCAAAGCCAAGAAAAAACAACTTTCATCAAGGGGCCCGACCTCCCCAAGGATGCTATTTGCCCAAATATCCCCACCAAAGGGTCTCCTTTTTCTTGTGCGGGGTTGAAAGGGGCCCAAAGTACTTTACGGCTTCCTGTATGTCTTCTTTAAACATCACAAAAGCAGGCTCACTTTAAATTGGCAACCCAATGGATGTAGAACGCCCGGGACCCGGGCCCGCAAACGGAACATATGCATCCTAGCCTGCTTGCCGTCGCTCCAAAACCTGTTCGTTGTCAGGGAAACCAAGGGGAAACCGCCATTTTGAGAGGGTTGCGACTCCTATCAATGTTCAGTAGGCAGCGCTGAGAGGTGTTCCATGTTTTCAAGGAATCAAGACCTGAGGAACCGATTCGCCGCACGCCCTGCTTTTAGTTGCATCTTTGACTTGCAAGTCCTGCAATGAAACAGAGGTCATTGCCCCCACGCCCCCCGCAAAAAAAAAAAAACCTTTTGTTCCGAATCGACGTTTGTCCGAGCCACCGCGGAGAGGCCGCGGACCGCACAGAGCGCCAAGATGAAACGACCAAGGCGGCCTTTGGCCATCGAACTGCCGATGGCCAAAAGGCAGCCCGGCCGATGGAGCCTGAAAGCCTCTGCGAGAAAAACACATACACTGCCTGCACGTCGTTTCCCAGGAAATACCCGCATCTCCCAAATGTCACAAGTTCGGAGTCTGGAAAACATCGGTTTTTTGTTGCTTCTTTCGGAAAGGTTCGGAAGCAACCTTCTTTGGGGGCTGGCTTTGCAAGGGTCCCGAGAACGATTCTGGGTGCCTGAAATGAAGGAACCTGGCAAGAAACAGTTTAAACCACAGAAGCCAACGTGAGGGTGTGCCTTTGACCTCTAACAAACCTTCAGCGGCGAATCTGCGTTTGTGAGAAGAATCCCAGTGAAGAACCCCACGCCGCTTGGACAGGGACCGAAGGCCGGCGGCTACCTAGATCCCCACCTCCAAAAACAAGGAAGCCAAAGGAGACACGATCCACAGAGGTCCCACCAGGAGGGCCTAATTGTGGATCCCTGGGAGTGGTTGAAATTGGAGCTCCCCACAAGTCCAACCCGATAAGCAATGGCACCAGCAACCCCACACCCCATAAGCAATGGAGCCAGGAACCGGTCCTTGTTAACTTTTGAAAAGCACATCCATGAGGAGACCTTCGCGTGGTTTCAACCACAGCTATGCACCCGGTCCCCCGCCGCTGGAGGTGTGGCCAGCAAAGGGATGTTTTGCTGGTCGCCCCCTGCGCCGGGAGTGACAGGGAAGAGTCAGCAGGGTGGACCTGTGGCCGAAACACCTAGATAGCCAAGTTGCTGCTTCTTTCAGTCACTGTTGCTGGTGTTTGGGGTGAAGTGCATGGGAAGAAAAAAAACAGCAACTGGCGATCCAGACACTTTTTTTTTTTTTTTTTTTTCTCTGGGGACCCAGTGTTTGTCGACCGGCCCATAAACCAAGGTCAAATGGAGGTCGGAAAACCGGTTCGGGTTCGAAAGACCGCTGCAATATTGTACGCTCTGGTCGAAGTGAAAATCAAGGAACACCAACAAGGCAAACAGCTGGCACACTTTTAGTCAGCCACCCTCTACCTGGTGGATGCTGCTTTGGAGGTTCGGGGGTGAAAAAACCAGGATTTCAAATTCCCAACCACACATCCACCAATCCAAGCCAGCAATGACGGGTTTCCTGACAGGAGGTCAAACACTTTGCCAAGTTAGTCTGAATGCCTTGAGGGCCTGCTTACAACTAGTGGCTTCCCGCAACACAGACACTTGCCCACTTTGTTCGACTTGTTTTTGAACGCCAGCCGGCCCACAAAACAAAGACCGAGGCGGACAAATCGATAAGTTTACAACTGGAGGAGCCAAAGACGGTTGGTATCCTTTGGGTGTTTTGTTAAAACCCAACCAGCAAAGGGTTCTCAATGGTTCTTCGACAACAAAAGCCGGCCATGATTATGTTGCCTTGGACTTGGAAAATTCGAGTCTCCTGATGTAGGATGAACTCTAGAGAGTCCCTTGTCCCAAAGCCCACATGGGTGTTTCTCAAAATTGGGGACCAATTCCTCCAGGTGTTTTCCTCTTGGTTCCCATTAAACCATCCATCAAGGGCTCCGATTTCTATTTTGACAAACTCCCACAATCCCATCTGACAAGTTCACAACAACCCAAACCGGAAACAAGGGATCTGCAAGTATTTTTCTTAGGTTGTTTCTCATCCATAAGCCACTGAAAAACAGGCGCCAGAGCTAGTCGAGCGTCGACCAAAGGGCGACTGTCCCAGCTTCAATTTGGGCTTTGATTGGTGGCTCACTTGCTGTTTTTTTCGCTACAGGAACCCAAACTTAGCCACACTAGCCTGCAAAAGTCAACTATCATTGCTGGTTGAAAGCTACAATGAAGGACACTTCCAGTGGTGTCTTTTTTGGTCAATAGACATGGCACTGGGAAATGAACAGAACCAAGCTGCAACCAGTGTCATCCAGTCTCAACGAAGCTGACCCAAGGCCACCTATGCTTGCCTGGATCTATGGTTGATCCGGTCATATCTAAAATGCTCCCAGGTGGCATTTTAGAGTACACTCTCGGCATGCATTTCTGTAGTCGCATTCATTGTATACGATCCGCGCAATCATCAGACCGTCCTCTTCTGAACGGGTGAAAACGACTCAAACAAACCCTGGTTGAAGCCATGGTTTCAACAAAATGGGATTCGGACATTTTGGTTGGTATTGAAAGGAAACCAAAAGAACAGAAACACCCGACTTGTGCAAGCCACCCTCTTTCGCTGCGTTTACAGGATCCCCTGGCCTGGTTCTACCGCCGTTCTTTGCGACCCTGCCTGGGCTGAAGTGGATGAAGACGTCCGCTGTGCAGGGCCTCGGAAGCCAAAGGTTCTGTTCCGCATGCCCCCAGGGCTCGTTGTGCTTCCCCCTCGACATCCGCAACAGAAAGACGGCGCATTGGCCCAAAAGGTGATGCTTAAAGCCAAAGGGAAAAGGAACAGAGACAGGAAACACGGATCTCCTGTCCCAGCGCACCAAAGCGGGAGGCCGAGCGGGTCCTTTGTTGGTTTCTCTGTTAAACCCATCGGAATTCTGCCGATTGCGGACTGCAGAAACTTGAATTTTAGAGGGTGTGGTGACCTTGTTGTGCGACTTCTGAAAGAAGAACCTCTTGCGAACCTCCACTTGTGCCGTCTCTCACGTTGCCATCTAGCCCAGGTCCTGAGGGGGAAAAAAACGGAACGCTGCTTTGCGCGCGGCCAAAAAAAGGCCGGCGGCTTTGAGTCATGTCTCACTTCCTGGGGTTGCCCAAGAAACGTCTCAAGGACTGGCTTACCTATTTGCAAAAGCTATGGAGTCAGACGTGTTTTAGCATGGCCCTTAAGATTGAAAGCAGCCAGTGCTTTCCTATGCTCACTGGGCTGAGACGGTTAGCCGGTTCAGAACACCTAAGCCCACCCGTGACCAACTAGACTTTGTTCAGGCTGACCTGGAGCCAGCCGAGTCGAACTTTGATAGGAGTATCGGCCGGGGTCCGACTTCGGGGTCAAAGTTGGGTCCCTTTGAATGAACATCTCAAAGGTGGGTCACTGAAAACACCCACGTGAAACGCAAAAACGCTTGACCACTTCAACCATGGTCTGATGGTGAAAACTAAAAGTTTGATGTTGGACTCCTGTGAACCAAAGGCGGCACCTTGCGCGGCACCGTCCCAAAAGGGCCCCGGAAGCCCATCTTTTTGGGCTTTAACAAACCAGTTCGTTTTGGAAGCCATGCAGATGATTGTCCTTTGGCGCAAACTGATCAGAACCCGTTATTCACAATTCCCAACCCGTCAAACGGGTTTGATCCTTTTGACCTGGCTTCCCTTGCGGGCGAGTGGCCCATTGCCGACCACCTCCTCAAAAAGCTTCGCCATGCGATGGCGTCGTCCAGCGGGAGGGGTGAGTGCGGCGGGGCTGAAGTTTTGGGTGCGGCCTCCGAGTGGGGTGGGAGTGGTTGCCAAAGTGATCTTGCGACCTCCCACTCAACCAAAAAAGTATACAAAGTTGGAAGAATGTGTCTAAAAGCTGAGGGCAACTTGGCTTCAGTTTGCTCTCTCACGGATAGCTCACGGGAAGTGGAACCCGGGGTTCGGATCAGCGATCCTTGAGGTTTCGGGCCGGAAGTGGATCTGAACCACACCCCTTCAGGTCAAAGCTCTGGCTTGGAACGGAAATCCGTCACGTACGAGAGGTGCTTGTTCTGATAACTACGTTTTCGGAACGAGATGTTGGAGGTTCAAAATGCCGTCCTCGGTATCCGGGTATCTCCCGAGAAACAGTTGCTGCTCATCAAGCTACGGACAACAAACTCCCCTGTTGCCCTTGATCAGGAAAAACAAACAAGGAAACCAAGAGGAAGCACCGACATCCGTCTTGGGCGTCCTGCGTTGACGCATCCAACATGTCTTGGACTGGGGAATTTCAGTGCTCTCAGCTCCGCCCTCGGCTGAAAGCCCGGCAAGGTGGGGCCAAGTCGATGGCAAGGCACCCTGTCCCTGGGGTTCAGAGCCCGGTCAAGCAAAGGGGTTTTAGTTTGACCACCATCTTTCTGGGAATCATCCAAATTCGGTCAACCATTGTTTTACTGGCTGCACCCGGTTCACATCTGGGCACAAACAAATGACTTGCTGCTTATGAATCACATTTTGCCTATCCTCAGATATGACATAGTTGTTGACAAGCACATGGCCATGTGTGTCCTTGTTTGCTATTCAATCTCAAGCGAGTTTTCAGCTACTTGTGCAGAAAGCAAGCACATGAACATGAATGTACTTTCAGAACTGTACTCAGACTCCTGAAAGAAACTTCTAGGGATGGCCTCGAAGCAGAAAAATTGTCAGCCCGAGGTCCCAAAACGAGCGCACTGGTGAGACAAGCTTCCGAGTGAACATCTTCAAGTCAAAATTCGGAGCCCCCATCCTGGACCCGTTTTGAGCACGCACATGTCACCGAGACATCACAAAGCCGCTCAGAAGCGCATGGTGTCGAAATGAAACCAACCATTTGTGGTGGTTCCCTGCGTGCTTTAGGACGCACCCACATGACTTAAGTGCACAAACCAAGCCACTGCTCGCTCCAAAGCGAGAGTCTGTTTGCCCAAGCGCTGGTTCCAAACGCAAGTGAGCGTTCAATCCTGCCACCCTCTATCAAGATTCACTTACCCAAAAAAACTCATTCCGTCGATCTTGGATGAATCCAGAAGACCATAACAGGGAATCCTGCCGATTAAAAGGGGCACCGCCCCTGATCATGGTGATCCAGAATCATCCAAAGTTCACATTGGATCCATCAGACAACCGTGCTCCGCCATCCCCGCAGCCCACATCTTTCCCCGCTCGCTTCCTGCTCGCTTCTTGCTCGGCTTGCCAAAACCCACCGGAACCAGGCAAGCGGCCGAGTTTCGGCGCGCCAGCTATTGCAGCCACACCGCTTACAGCAATGTTGAGACCAGATTGAGGAACCTTGCGGAAATTTTAGGTGGGGTTCCCTCAAAAAGTGAAGCACCTCTTAAGAAAGGGTTAGGGGCAGGGTACTTAGCAAGTGGGTAATAACCACGGTTATAACTCACTTACCATTGTTTTTGGTCTGCGAAGTGGGTTTTGTAACCAGGCTTACCCAACCACTTACTAAGTACCCCGCCCCTTTAAGTATCAAAGGTCGCAGACACTTTCGAAGTGGGCATGTTTTGACGAATCTGCTGCACCAGCTCTGTTGAGTCTTTTCTTTTCCATCGAACAAACGTCAAAACGTGAAATAAGAACCGGATCTCCACACAAATGACCTACCGGGGGCATGAGCTTAAGAAGGGACCCTTTGGTGGACATCTGTTCGGTGGGGATTCCTGTCCACCAACAGCTTTTCAGGCGGTTCCAACTCTTGGAATTCATAGCGAAATGGAGCATTGGCTCCTTTTACCAAGTGAGCTCGCCATACAATGGGTTGGCCCAAAGCGCCAGCCCTTTCTCGGTCGTGTGGCGCCAAAATCTCCGCCGCAGCACAGAGGTGAGGTCTGGACCATGTCCCATGGAAGGGCAGTCACCTTTTTGGGGCTGGTTTCAAGGGAAACCACATGGAAACTCACCGGTTTGGGGGTCGCCTCAAAAAGACACCCAAATGAAAGCCTACCCTCCTACCACCGAAGAAACCTCTCGACTTTTCGGTGGCAAAGAAGGGTACCCTACCAACTTTGGGGAGGTTCAGCGCCGAAATTTCGCCTGATGAACTTGAGAAGTCAACGTCCCCCTCCCCGAGAACGAGCTTTGGATCAACCGCTTCAGATCCAACCCTGGGGTGGGTCCCCATATCTCTGACGCACGGGGTGGGTCCATGGAAACAGTTGGCCCTTGCTGAGTAAAGTGGAGAATGCCTACTGCTCAATTTGGGAAGGTGATTTCCTTGGCTCATAGTTTGATCCTGCCTTCTGTGCTGCTTGAGTCTTGCCGGCCTGGCCTCCCGATCTTCATGTTCTGTTGGGTCAAGAACTTGACTCGAGGTGCCTGGAACCAATCAAGATGGTTACTTCTCGTTGCTCAACCCCGAACGGGCAAACGGTCGATCACCTTTTGTAGGTTTGATGGAACACAACTTTGTTTCCACAAGCTCCAAACGGGTTGCGATGCCGCCACACCTTGCATTGGTTCAAGTCACTTGAGACCCTCGGGAGGCCAAGCCTAGGCTTATAAGCGTCTGTGAACGCCAGGGTTGGGCCATCCGCACTTGTTTGAACTACTATTACCAGTGCTTGAGCATCCACCGACAGAGGTCTGGCCACGTGGGAGAAATTATGGCCTTTCTGTAAGACCAAAGTGGGGGTCCCATGGTTGTGATACAGCAAGATGGCCGTCATTCCCATTACTTTATCACTGTTGAAGGGCATTCCCTTATTACCAAACACCAGCCCCTGACATCTTCGCTTTGCCACTTCAAGTTACATGCTAACAGCATCACCGAAAAGTGGTCCTAACCATGTCCCAAACCCCAGGTGGCTTTCCATGGTTGCAAAGGAGCCTCGCCTTTCTCATTGTTGACTTAAAGGGCACCTCAAGCGAAAAATAGAAGCTGCTCCACAGGTCTGGGATGTTGGTCCGGAGTGATGTTGGGCCGACTGAAAATATGCAGCTACCCTCAGATGGGACACTTCTTGCTCCGGGCTAATTGGGTTGAATTTGGTGCCCAATGTTCCGAATGCCGAATGGACTATGGGGAACTGGAGAATTTCATTGAAGTCTCACAGGTGGGTCTGTTTTGTTCGGTGGGTATCCTTTTCGGGGCGTGTTTACACGTTAAAGGGCAAATCACCATCATTTTGGGGGTTCCCTATTTTGTGACACACCGATGTTGCCCAACCCTTCCAACTGACTCCGGAACCAGCGGACAGGCTGAAAGCCAAAAGCATGCGAAGCAGTATGCCCGCCGCCCGCCATCCTCAGCGAAGTCAGGCACTGCTGGAGACAAAGTACTTGGGAAGTGGTTAGTACGGTGGATGCGTTACACATTGCAAGTAAACCAACCATACGCAAAGCCATGCGAAATCGATGTAAGTCAGCGGGCCCCCTTTCCCTGACTTGCAACATGTAGGGCACCCACCATAACTCTGGGTATAACACATGGCAAGACCCAGCGTCTTCCAAACATTGTCGTGCTAAGTACCCTGCCCCAAATGGGGAATTCACCACTTTCCAGCCCAAGATGACCTCCGGAAGCTCTCAAGTCCCCAGGTTCGACGCACCTGACATCCTGGTACCAGTGGAACCCAACAAAAGCCACGCGACACCTTAACCCTGGCATGCAAATGTGCTGGACACGCATCAAAAAAAAAAACGAAAAGAAACGCTACGTGCTTGGCTGCCTCTGTGGTATGTGAAGCCGGGGTTAGGCAGGTCTGGCTCCAGCCGTACCTTCCTTTTGCATTGCATCAGCTTAATACTTGCATTTGAGCGTACGACGAGTGCCCCCTTAGGGCAGACCATTTGGAAGTCCGGCTGTTGCTGCCCCATTCCCTCCAGATGAAGTTATATATTCCTTTCCATTCTCTGGGTTACTTTTTTATCCCCCGCCAGACGATGACTTTTTGCTGGCAACGGTCAGGTCTCAAGAAACAAAGCCAGATCGAAAAGAGTCAACAAACTCTCTTCAGTAATCCATTTCTTCCGCAAATGGGCCAAACTCCTGAGAAACATGTGATAGTTGGCACACCAACATGGGGCAACCGGTCGATACCTCAGCAAAATTGGCGGGTACCTCATGTTGGTACACCCTGGGGAATTGCTAGAACCATGACATTGTTCGAGAGAGGTCAAACGGCAAACCTTGATCTGAAGCTCGCAAACCCTCCCCGCCGGACTCCCAGACTCCCAGTCTCAACGTCGAAGCCACTCGAGTCATGTCGAACCTTGAAATCGATCGTTTACCCAAAACCGCTTTGAAAAAGGGCACGGTTTCCGGATGACTCACGCAGGTTTGCGGCAAGCACATGTTTTCACACACGAAGCAACCAATTGTCATGTACGCTTGGTTTCGTGCCAATGCAACTGCCTTTCTCGGGCGGTTTTGCACGGTCTCAGGTCGTCTCAACTCAACCGGCTTTTTCAACCCCCCCAAAACCCGACTCGCGCGAACCGCCTCCTTGCCCATGCCGCCCACCCGCGGACCCACCCCACCCAACTCTCCCGGACCTCCGAGCCCCAAACCCGAGGCCGTCCGCCCAATTCCGGCATCTCCATTCTCCCCGTCGCCCAGCCCGCCAGAAGCCCATCCGCCCGTCTCCTGAGGCCCGATGGGTTTATTCCGGAAATCAAACGCGGACAACATCTCTAGCCGCGGCAAGCAAACATCTGCACCCATGACTGCAACTAGTAAATACTGCGGGCCTCACAGGGTACGAATATGAAGGGCTGATAGTTGTAAGGGGAACAAAGCTCTAGCACCTTTTCTTCGCCACACGTGGCAAGCACCAGTAGACCGCTTGGGATTCTCCCAAGAGGACATAACCTCCACGGCCACAAGGTCTGGGTGACTTAATAGCTCACTAATCGGAAATAAGGACCTGCTCGAAGGACCTGAAAACCAAAGAGGTCGACCTTTCAGGACCTTGACGACATATGGAAAAAATGGACAGCCAACAGGTGGAAATCGGTGGACATGTGCTGGCTTTGGACAAATGAGCCTTCATGGATCCGTCGCAAAAACACGGCCGAGTCGAGAAAAAACAAAGGCCATATACGCTAAGAAGGTGGCCTAGGTGGCCCCTGGAAAACACGGCTGTCTACCTTGTCTTGGGTACTCCAAACATGATATGTTCTGTATCTGTTCCTCAAATCTTGCGGCAGCCCCGAAGGTTTCACATTGGCCAAACAGATCCGACCCCCGGAAAGGTGAACTTCTCGCTGCTTGGAAAGCAAAGGACAGCCAGGGGCAAAAGTAGGGCGTGACTCATGTTGCGGAAACGAAACCGCCGGATCTCCTTCGAGATTTTTCTCAAAGGGGAATTGGCTGGTCTAGGAAGTTTCGATTGAGGTAATCCCGAAATTTCGGCATCATCACTTCTAGCGCGCCGTGCGCTCAGCCATTGAAAAGAACATATTTTGTTGGGCTTGTGGACGGTTTCGGTGTCGAGTTTCTTGGGTAATCAACTTTTGTTTGGTTTTAACGGCAAACCGAAAGGATGGGTTCACTCCCAAAACTCCTGGGGCCAAAAACCAGATCCTGCGTCCCTTGGGTCGTACGGATACGGGACCCAGGCTGCAAGCCGCGTCCAGTCTGGGTCTTCTGCAGGTCCCCCGACGCCCATCAGTGCTCACCCCCCACCCACCCGAAATGAAAAAAACACATCAACAGCTAAGACAACGGTGTGCCTTTTGACAATGCCTCTGCTTTGGCTGACAATCAAACGGCTCCCGACAAGTCGAGAACCCTGAAGGGCTCCAGCTTTATGCTGGATGGTGCATTGGGACCTCCCGTCAACATGGCTGCGCGCTTAGAACTAGCACCCCAAAACAACACCGAGCCGCCAATATTTGAGTAATCCCAAATAAAAGTTCACACCCTTATCCCAGACTTCCGGATGGGACAAAGGCATCTCTTTCCGGTGGCTTGTTTTTGCTCAAAGCCAAGCATCCTCCAAACAAAATTGCCCCACAGCTCGAGGACCCTCAATTACTCTTTTCGGGTCCGAGCAAAACGGCTTCACCTTGGTTTGCAACTCTGGCTTTCTTCTCGCTTGGATTGGCGAAAAAACGCACGCAATAACTTTTTGTTTACCATCCCGGTGGCCCAAAAGTGGCTCAAGTCCTGGAACTCCTTCCAATCTTTCAAGGATCACTTTCTTAGGATTTGGGATCCTCTAAAGCCTAGCTGGCAAATGTAGAGGAACTTCAGCACGTTGGCCAGACACCAAAGCCAATGGATTTCCCATAGAATTTCCCGTTTCGCTCGTTTCTTCAGAACTTCCTGCGGTCACGTCCAACGCTTGCGCCTTCGCGCGCTCGGGTTCCCGCCTTGCCCGAGCCCCGGGGCCCCGGGCAGCGGACGGGGCTGCGGGAGCGGTCGGGGTCGTCAGGCTTCGGGGTTCCGCACCTACGCGCGGAGTTGGCGAGTCGAGTTTCCATGACCCTTAAAAGTGTCACGCGCGTCTTTCTTTTTGGGACCAACTAAAAGGGCAGTTGTCGTTTAGTTGCTTTTAAAACCACCCCTGAAAAACGATAAGTCCACATATATATATATATATACATACATATACAGACACAGTATGTAGAATATGTGAATATAATATGTATATATATATATATATACACGACGTTGGTGTCCCTCATGGATTTTGACATCGGCCCGGATGTCGGCCAACTGTCAATCCGGGCATCCAAGAAGCTGACCCAGATAAACATCGTCAAGCTGGCAAGCTGTGGGATTAATTCGGGACCGTCACAACTTGCATAGGATCTTCGTTTGGCAAGTTGCATAAGATCATGGAACCCTTGAAGATAACCACTTACCATGATTATGAGTCTTCTAAGTGGTTCTAACCAGGCTCTCTCACCACTTCCTGAGCACCCGATCGCCCCTCTAAGTGTTCATCTTTCCTGTCATGACTTTCAAGGAAGATGTCTGTCCCAAACGCCAGTGCCCTTGGCTTCTCCCTGAGGCCGTCCCCCGAGGCAGCCGCTTCCTGCAGAAGTCGTTCCTGGCGAACTGCATGTCCTTGCACGCCTCGGAGTTTGGACGTAGCCGTGTGGCCGTGGTGTGGCGGTGGAAGTTGCCATGGGATGGGTCGCAATTCTGCCCAGGAATGAGACTACAAAAGCTTTGTCTCCATCTACCAGGGCAAACCCAAAAATGGGCACCTAATTTTTGACCAGCCCTAGCCAGCCATGTGTCAAAATGGATTTGGCGGGCCCCCAAGATGGGGAGTCCCTTTGGTTCCCTTCAAACGAATCTGAAAAGGTGGCCTTGAAAACAAAAAACACACACGCATGAGCCACAGCAAGGGGAGCCAAGGGCCATGACCTTTGGTCCCATAAGGCCTATGCGGGAAAAACATGTGGGTGAACGTGGCCACGTTTTCCTGTTTTGCCTCCACAACTTTGAAAGATCGCCGCGAAGAAAAAAAAAGGCAGAAAAACACACACACCACAAGACAGGCTTCCAGGAAAAGCAACCGGGAAGTCTGCCCATGGGAACCTACCCGGAACGACCCTGGCCACTGCTCCAACCGAGTGGGGTTCTGTTGGAACGGAACCGATTTTGAAGCTGGCAAAGCAAACCACTCGGCAAGTCAAGAGGAACCCTGTAAGATGGATCTTCACATAAAATCCACCTAAGTAAAAAGGACTTCTGAGAAAAGACAAGGAATTAAAGGTTCTTTGATTTCTGGCTGCTACATGCGGGGGTTGGGGGGGGGGGGCTGGACAAATTGACAGCTGACCCATGCCCCTTGTGGCTTCCCTTGGAGGCTTTCTTCTCGCGGCCTCACTCGGCGGCCCCGGCCTCGTTGGGGCAGACCCAATCTCCGGGTTTCATGGCCTGGTTGTTGCCTCGCGGGTGCCGAGTGCTGCAACTCTTCCCGCGTTGGGCTTGTGGCTCAGTTGCCCAAACGGCCCAAACATAAAAGGGCTAAGCCTTGGGGGCCATGACTAATGCACCAAAAAGGGGGGAAACTCAGACTTTGAGAGGTCAAAAGGTCAGCTTTGGGCCAGTGGTCAGGTTTGGGCAAGTGAGTTGGTTGACTAGTTTGGGATCGACGGAAACTGGCGACAGGGAATCCCACTTGGTTTTACCCAAGACACCCCTCCGAGCCTTCTTACGAGAGAGCCCTAAAACCAATGGAAAGCTCTGTCCAGCAGACTGGTCCGACATCCTTCCTCACGTTGATTCTCCATGCAAAACAAATGGCACCTTTTTTTTTCCGGTAGTGTACCAGGACCATCATATAGGCTGCAGGGTGCTTGAGGAACCCCTCCAAAAGAAAGGCATCACCAGAGGTCTGCCCCCAACTATGCACACCTGCACTCATCAGGATGGATTTGCAAAAAGGCGGGTTCCCAACAGAGTGACCCAGAGATCCTCCAAGCTAGGGCAACTCGGTCAGCTCAAAACCCAACCAAACAGAGCTGAAAAGCTATGGGTATGAACCACCTGAGAAGTATTATGGTTTTCCTTTTAGCTTCCCTTTCAGTCAACCTGGACAGGGTACCCTTGTATGTGGGGTTTCTGTATATATGTATATATGTATATCTATATAATACATGGCAAGGAGCCCTTGAACATGGGCTCAGTGATGAGAAGTGGGAACACCAATTCTGGGATGAATCAAGAGCACTTGCCAACTCAAACTGTGTGGCTGTTGAAATTCCTTGCTAAAAGTGTTTCTTTTCGTGGAATATGTCAACAATCCCCCTCAAGACACACCAAGAGTCTAAGGGTATGGCTAGCCACCAACCGAAAAATGCTAGTTCCCAAGGAGACTTTACCATGGGTCCAGACTTCTTCTTTGCCCTGCCCATTTCCTCTAAAACCAACCGAGAATACATTCATCCAGCAAAGAACAAACACCCACTGCGAAGATGGAAACAACCATGAAGAAACACTTAAGATACTTCCCTCAATTTCGGGTTGGTTGATTCGAAAGGACACCTTCTCCACAGCACATGGCAAGAAAGCTAAAAATCAGCAGACTAAGGGGCAGGCTTGGGCCAACCCCCTGTCATGTTTCACCCTAAATTGGTTTGGTTTGGTTTGGACGTTGGAGTTAACTTCCTTTGGCTTCCAAGGTAACCCCCCAAACCACAAATCCAAACCGACCAAGGGGTACCTGAGTTTTGAAATACCGCTGTTTCCGCGTTTCAGGGTCCACCTGGAGTCCAGGGGTTGGCTCTCAGACTGAGCTCCCAGCTGGACAAAAGCGGCCTCGAAAGGCGTGTTCGCTTCAAACTCCCACTGAGGGCCTGCTTTCAGTTGAATCATAATTGAACCTGGCAAAGGCGGTCCCAAAACGGGCAACTAAATTTTAAACGCACACCCATTGGCTGGTGACTGTCCTTCCACCTACCGTACCTTTGGGGTCGCACCTTGCCAACCGATAGCTGTCGGTTGGCACACCGGCAAGGCTCAGAAATGCGGTTTAAAATTGTTTCCTTTGGTTGCCTGCAAGCATTGGTGAATCAAGAGTGCGGCCAAAGGGACACACCTGCTTGCGTCAAGTAGAACTGGGAAAAGACTTCAATGGGCCCTCTAGCGAGGTCATCAATTGCTCTAACCCGTGTCGCTTTTTGAAGGTCAAAGACCAGGGCGTGACCCCCCCCATGTTTGGGCAAGCATACTATCCTTTCGGTCATCTGCTGTGGCTGGTACATAGCAAAAGGCTGCGGGTTCCGAGTGACTTGAAGTGCCTAGACGTACACGACAGCCCTTTGCACTATGCCCAGTTACACAATTAAAAGGACCCCCCCCTCAGAAAAGGAGTATCCCCCAAATTCCATTTACTCGTCTGCCTCAAGGAATGGACATAACACTTGAGCTTTTAACCGTTTGAGGCTCCCAGGCTCCCTATGTTTCCCCTTAAGCACGCCAAGGAGAAATTAAGCTGCACTTGGTCCAACAAGTGATGTTTCAACCGGCTTTGAAGGGAAATACGGAACAAACTCTTAAGGCAAATAATCTGGGACCTTGCGAAGTATATGTCAAAGTAGGGAACCCCCAACATTGTGGACACATAAGCGGCTCCCCTTTTTTTTCGTGTGGTTTCGCCCCTCACCATAAAAAAAGGCGACAACCCCAATTTCGTGCGTGCATTTCTCCTTTGGTGTCCCTCAAAATTGCAGGGGGATGGGTAGTTGAGAGCTCCAGGGTTCCATACCCAGCGACCCCGAGCCCGAGCTGACCAGTCAGCCACTGGGTGCCCCAACTTGGCGCTGCCGCACTTGCGGCAGGTTTCGTTGCGCCCGAACTGGTGATCCCCGCCTCTGAAACAGAGACGCCATGCACGCAAGGCGCAGGTGTACAAGGTGAATTACTATCCGTATATATATATATATATATATATATGTTAGCTGCCCCCCCTGACGTACTCAGGCTTTTGGCCAGGCTGAGACTTTGAGATGAAGTGACAGGATGAGGTACCATATACTTATCAAAGGAAGTTTAACAAGAAACTTCCGTAGTACTGGAACTAAATGAGCTAGCTGCTTTGACATATAGCTATGACAGGTAGCTAGCATGACAAATAGATAGCTTTGACATATAGCTAGCTTGACAGATAGATAGCTTTCCAATAGGCTTGCATGACAGATAGATAGCTTTGACATATAGCCAGCTTAACACGTAGATAGCTTTCTCAAGTATAGATTTCGTGGCAGGCGCAGCACTTTCGCAAGCACTCTCTGCGAGCTGGGGGATGGCAAGATGCAGAAAACGTTGGCGCTGTGCGTGAATTGGGCTTCCGGACTGTGCGCAAACCACCTCGGCTGCGACGCCTGTACGGCGGCGGTCTCGGAACGGTCTCGGAACGGTCTCGGAACGGGTTCGGAGACGGGCCCATTGGCACGGCCGCGCGAAGGTTTCGCAAGGTTTGAATTGCGTGGCAGGCGCAGCACTTTCGCAAGGTCAAGTATAGATTTCGTGGCAGGCGCAGCACTTTCGCAAGGTCAAGTATCGATTTCGTGGCAGGCGCAGCACTTTCGCAAGGTGCTGCGTCCACTCTCTGCGAGCTGGGGGATGGCAAGATGCAGAAAACGTTGGCGCTGTGCGTGAATTGGGCTTCCGGACTGTGCGCAAACCACCTCGGCTGCGACGCCTGTACGGAGGCGGTCTCGGAACGGTCTCGGAACGGTCTCGGAACGGGTTCGGAGACGGGCCCATTGGCACGGCCGCGCGAAGGTTTCGCAAGGTTTGAATTGCGTGGCAGGCGCAGCACTTTCGCAAGGTCAAGTATAGATTTCGTGGCAGGCGCAGCACTTTCGCAAGGTCAAGTATCGATTTCGTGGCAGGCGCAGCACTTTCGCAAGGTGCTGCGTCCACTCTCTGCGAGCTGGGGGATGGCAAGATGCAGAAAACGTTGGCGCTGTGCGTGAATTGGGCTTCCGGACTGTGCGCAAACCACCTCGGCTGCGACGCCTGTACGGACGGTCTCGGAACGGTCTCGGAACGGTCGGGTTCGGAGACGGGCCCATTGGCACGGCCGCGCGAAGGTTTCGCAAGGTTTGAATTGCGTGGCAGGCGCAGCACTTTCGCAAGGTCAAGTATAGATTTCGTGGCAGGCGCAGCACTTTCGCAAGGTCAAGTATCGATTTCGTGGCAGGCGCAGCACTTTCGCAAGGTGCTGCGTCCACTCTCTGCGAGCTGGGGGATGGCAAGATGCAGAAAACGTTGGCGCTGTGCGTGAATTGGGCTTCCGGACTGTGCGCAAACCACCTCGGCTGCGACGCCTGTACGGAGGCGGTCTCGGAACGGTCTCGGAACGGTCTCGGAACGGTCTCGGAACGGGTTCGGAGACGGGCCCATTGGCACGGCCGCGCGAAGGTTTCGCAAGGTTTGAATTGCGTGGCAGGCGCAGCACTTTCGCAAGGTCAAGTATAGATTTCGTGGCAGGCGCAGCACTTTCGCAAGGTCAAGTATCGATTTCGTGGCAGGCGCAGCACTTTCGCAAGGTGCTGCGTCCACTCTCTGCGAGCTGGGGGATGGCAAGATGCAGAAAACGTTGGCGCTGTGCGTGAATTGGGCTTCCGGACTGTGCGCAAACCACCTCGGCTGCGACGCCTGTACGGCGGCGGTCTCGGAACGGTCTCGGAACGGTCTCGGAACGGTGGTTAAACGGTCTCGGAACGGGTTCGGCGACGGGCCCATTGGCACGGCCGCGCGAAGGTTTCGCAAGGTTTGAATTGCGTGGCAGGCGCAGCACTTTCGCAAGGTCAAGTATAGATTTCGTGGCAGGCGCAGCACTTTCGCAAGGTCAAGTATCGATTTCGTGGCAGGCGCAGCACTTTCGCAAGACTCTCTGCGAGCTGGGGGATGGCAAGATGCAGAAAACGTTGGCTCAAATGTAGTTACTTTCGTGACTTGGGCATTTGGCACACCTCACACCTGACCACGCAACTTGTCACACTTTACTCAACCCCACAGTCAGTCAAGCGCTCCAAGGGATGTTGTTTTGTGTTGTTCTGTTTGTGCAGAGAGTCACAGTCTGTAAGCAGTATTAGTGGCGCCCGTGTTTCCCCTCAGGGGGACTTTTTACAGACTACTCAGAAAATCAACAACGCATACGACTTTTTTTCAGAGGTTGGTGCTTCGGCCGGCCGCTTGCGCACCCGCTACTCAGGGCAGCTTGGCGTTTCGGCCGGCTGCTCGCGCCATGGATCGCGATGACAGCAACACTAGTGAGGACCGCTTTCAGGTCCTGTTGACCTACCTGGCGGCAAACGCCGCAGAACTGCGACAGCTGCAGTGCCAAGACATGGCCTCGCTTTTGCGCACTGGCGAGGCCAGGCGAGGCAAGCCGGCCATTCCAGACAGGGCCGCCTTATACCGGTTCCTTCAGAGACAGGGCCACGCTTTTACAGAGGGGCAGAGGGAGGAGCTCCGGGCATGGGAGGCTCGGCTGTGCGTGTCGCCCAAGCAAGCGCAGCCGGAGCTCCAAGATCAGTATGAAAGGTTTCTCGCGCTGCTTGAGAAACGAGCAGATTTTTTTATTAGCTTGCGCAAGGTGTCTTTGAAAGCTTTATTTGAAGTCCACGCAGCGAAGACCGACAAGGAGCTTCGGTTCGGCAAAAACTTCATGCTTCGCTGCTACCCACAGCTTTCACAAGAGCAGAAGGACGAGCTGGCCGAGTGGGAGGCCATGCTTTGTGAGCCTGGCGAGGGCGAGCGCTTGGCGTTTCGGCCGGCGCTGCAGCGACAGCTGGCGAAGTTTATCGCGGTGCTCGAAAATCGAGCTGAGTACTTGCAGAGCTTGCAGAAGCCTTCGCTTAAAGCTTTGTTTGAAGCGCACGCCGTGAAAAATGATAAGGAACTCAAGTTCGGCCAAAATTTCATGCTTCGCTGCTACCCACAGCTTTCGCAGGAGCAGATGGACGAGCTGGCCGAGTGGGAGGCCATGCTTTGTGACGCTGGCGAGGGCGAGCGCTTGGCTTTTCGGCCGGCGCTGCAGCGACAGCTGGCGAAGTTTATCGCGGTGCTCGAAAATCGAGCTGAGTACTTGCAGAGCTTGCAGAAGCCTTCGCTTAAAGCTTTGTTTGAAGCGCACGCCGTGAAAAATGATAAGGAACTCAAGTTCGGCCAAAATTTCATGCTTCGCTGCTACCCACAGCTTTTACAGGAGCAAAAGGACGAGCTGGCCGAGTGGGAGGCCATGCTTTGTGAGCCTGGCGAGGGCGAGCGCCTGGCGTTTTGCAGCGACAGCTGGAAAAGTTTATCGCTCTGCTCGAAGATCGAGCCGAGTACTTCCAGAGCTTGCAGAAGCCTTCGCTTAAGTCTTTGTTTGAAGTGCACGCCGTGAAAAATGATCAAGGCCTCAAGTTCGGTCAAAATTTCATGCGCCGCTGTTACCCAAAGCTTTCACAGGGGCAGAAGGACGAGCTGGCCGAGTGGGAGGCCATGCTTTGCGAGCCCGGCGAGGGCGAGCGCTTGGCGTTTCGGCCGGCGCTGCAGCGGCAAGTGGACCGATTTGTTGCCCTGCTGGCGAGCCGCCGCGCAGAATTCCTGCAAGAGAAAGAATCTTCTCTTGGCGCGCTGTTTCGCGCTGCCCGTCGCGGCCGCGACAAGGACTGGAGGTTCGGCCACGAGTTCGTGTCTCGCGTGCTGCCGAAGTTGTCAGCAGAGATGGCGGCGCAGGTGCAGCAGGCAGCAGCTTCTTGCCTATGCCCGACAGAGAGGGCGGCGCGCAAGGCTCCGCACGAGCCCAAGCTGCATGTCGAGGAGTGCGCGCTCGGCGACGACTTGCCTCGCCCGCGGCTGCCAAAGTGCTTGCGCCAGCTATACGGCGACAGCTTGGACGCGGAGACCCGCGTCCGAACCTTCTTCCACCGAGTGCACGAGGTGGACACGTTTTTGCAGGAGCAAGAGTTTACGGCCTGCGAGTACTGCAAGGAAGGGTGGTTCGGGACCACCCGGCCACGCGACGCCCTGCCGGGCCAGGTCGAGACCGCTACCTTCAAGAAGAGCAACTTTATCCTTGCGCCAGAGAAGGACTGGCTGGAGCCCGGCAAAGCAATATGCCGCAACTGCCTGTCAGAGGCTGTGGCACGGGCCAAGGAAGGGCTCCCCAAAGCGCCCGTCCGCTTCACTGCGGAGAACCTTGCAGACCCGGGGGAGTCTCTGGCAGAGACCGACGCGCTCACCTTCTTCGAAGAAGAGCTGCTGTCGCCGATACAGCACATCGTGCGCATCTTCACGCTGCACGCTACTGGGCAGTGCGAACTGCGTGGCCATGTCGGCAACTTGCTTCAGAATGGCCCGCAGTACGTGCGGCAGATCGGAGACATGAAGATGCTTTTGGTTCGGCGCTGCCCAAAAGACCCGGCCCGCAAGCAGCGTGTGCCTTTCCTGGCGTCCCGCCAGCGACTTGAGCAGGCGCTGGACCGCATCGCACGGCCGGCCGCGGAAGGCGGATCGCTGGCGCTGCAGCCGGGCGCGCTCACGCCAGGCGGCTACGTGGACCTGGTGAGCCGCGAGAACCTGGCTCAATTCGAAGACTCTCCGGAGGGCGCAGAGCCGGTCGGCTTGCAGGTGACTGTCGTCGAGCAGCAGGAGGTCACCAGCTTGGGTTACAGCTTGTTTGCCATGTGGCTGAGTTCTTCCCTGGAGCTGCAGTTGGCCGCGCAAGTGAGGGCGCTGCACGAGCCGGCTGACGTGGAAGATCAGCTCCAGCGGCAGCAAGCGACATGGAATGCGCTCCGTCGCGCGGTGCGCAGCTTCGTTTTTGACGAGGAGCTCGACTCCCCGACAGCGGCCGCGGCGCCCCAGACGGG